TATAAACCCTAAGGGGGCCCCTTAGGAGCAGACAGCGCAGTTATATATATATATATATATATATGCCTAATGTAAGCAGCTAAGGGGACAGGAGACAGGTAGAGAGACAGCTAGAAGAAGACAGTCTCAGAGAAACAGCTGAAGAGAGACATATCAGAAGAGACATATTAAGGAGACGCCTAAGGAGAGACCTGCATATCTTTTAATTAAACATTTACTAAATTTAAGAGGAACAGACGTAGAGGCAAAGGCAGAGGCTGCGGTGTCTCTTCAGGTCGCCAGTCTCTGTTTGCTGTCTGTCTCCTTTTGTTTGTCTGTCTCCTTTTATATTTGTCTCCTTTTGGGTGCTTCCCTCTCTTCTGTTTGTCTCCTTTTGTTTGTCTGTCTCCTTTTTTATTTGTCTCCTTCCGTCTGTCTCCCTTTGTCTGTTTATCTGTTTTTTATTTGTCTCCTTTTGTCTTTGTTTGACTCTCTATCTATTTCCTTCCTATCTGTCTCCTTTTGCTTGCTTGTCTCCTTTATAATACCTGTCTCCTTTTGCCTATCTGTCTCCTTTCTATCTGTCTGCTTTCTAATCTGTCTCTTTTGTCTCTTTATTGTCTCTCTATTTGTCTCTTTTTAATTATACTTACTAAACAAAGAAGGAGACAGAGAACAGCCAAACGGCAGCAGCGAGAGACAGACGAAACAAATAAAATAAAAGGAGACAGTACAAGGGAGAAATAGAGACCCGCAAGGAGACTGTTTGCTGCTGCTGCAGCAGCAGTAGCAGCAGCAGCAGCAAACTGCAGCATCAGCAAACTGCATCAACAGCTGCAGCAGCAAACTGCATCAACAGCTGCAGCAGCAAACTGCATCCACAGCAGCAGCAAACTGCAGCAGCAGCAGCAGCAAACTGCCTGCGGCACCCCTCAGCGGCTCGAATGAGTGTGTCTGCTGTCTCTTCTCTCATGCGCAGCAGCAGAGAGAGAGACAGCAGCAGAAAGGAGACAAAGAAGAGACAGCAAATGCTGCAAGAGCAGAGATAAAAGAGAGACAGCTGCTGCCCTCACACACACAGACACACCCCACCGGAGACACCCCTTAGGGTTTAGGGTTTAGGGTTTAGGGTTTAGGGTTTAATCGAGTTGCTGCAGCGCCTGCCACCCGCTTGCTGCATCATCTTCTCCCTCCACAGGAGGGGCCTCAGATGCTTCTCTTTCTATCTCTCCGATAGCTTTAATAAGCTGAGGGTCCTTAGTATGTGGGGTTGCTGCTGCTTCTGCTGCTGCTGCTGCTGCTGCTGCTGCGTGTTGCTGCTTCTCCTTAACACCGGGCAGCCAAGCAACGCAGTCTTGTAGGTTTGGGGGTAGACAAACGCGAGTTGCTGCTGCTTGTGATGTTCCTGCTGCTGCTGCCGGTGCTGCTGCTGCTGCTGCTGCTGCTGCTTGTGCTTCACTCTCCCACGCACGAATTGTAGCGAGCAGCTGCTGCAGCAGCCCCGGCTGCTCCTGCTGCGTCTCTACATCAGCAGCAACCTGATGAAGAATTACTTTTAAAGGAAATTCGTGAGCGTCGTGGCGCCGCAAGAAAGGGATTATCTCCTTTTGCTGCAGCAGCAACAGCAGCAGCAGCAGCAGCAGCAGCAGCAGGGCCAGCAGCAGCAGCAACAGCAGTAACATCAGAAGCAGCAGCAGCAGAGGACATACACATGAAAAACCATATGAGCTGCAGCAGCAGCAGCAGCAGCAGCAAAAGGAGACAGAGAGACACAAAGGAGACAGAGGAGAAGAGACAGAAGAAGGAGACAATCATACAGACATATATCTAACTTCTGCTGCAGCAGCAACAGCTGCAGCAACAACAGAAGCAGCAGCAGCACAACCAAGACCAAGAAGAATACAGACAAAGACAAAAGGAGACAGAAGGGAGACAACAGAAGACAAGGAGACACATAAAAGGAGACAGTGAAGAAAAAAGAAAGGAGACAAAAAAAGACAGACAGAGACAGAGAGACAGACAGAGACAAAGACAGAGACAGAGAGACAGAGACAGAGACAGAGAGACAGAGAGACAGAGACAGAGCCGGAGACAGAGACAGAGACGGAGACAAAGAGATGAAGAGACAGACAAAGACAGACAGAGACAGAGAGAGAGAGAGAGACAAAGACAGAGAGAGACACAGACAGAGACAGAGAGACAGAGACAGAGAGACAGAGACAGAAGGAGAGAAAGAAGGAGACAAATAAATAAAACAAATACCTGCTTAGTAGCAAGAAGAATAGAGACAATGATATCCCAGCGCCGCAGCCTTAGTGCAGCATCAAGGCAGGCTTGGCGCAGCCAGCGTTCATCTGCTGCTGCTGCTGCTGCGCTGCTGCTGCCTGCTGCTGCTGCTCCTGCTGCTGCTGCTAGCTGTCTCCACACCGCAACTAACCTCCCCAGCATGTCTCCAGAGTCCAGCAGCAAATGATACTGCAGCAGCTGCCGCAGCAAATCGCCTGATCGCACAGCATTCACAAGCTATCAAAGTGCTGCTGCTGCTGCTACTGCTGCTGCTGATGCTGGTGCTGCGACTGATGCTGCCGTAGCTGATGCTGTAGCTGTTGCTGCGATTACTGCTTGCTAAACCCTAAAACCCTAAACCCTAAACCCTTTGTTGAGGGTTTGACCTCTTTTAAAGAAGACGCAGCAATCAAACAGAAAAGCCTGCAGCACTTTGTGAGGAAATATCTGCAGCAGCAGCAGCGTCCGAGTGTACTCCATTGCCACCTGCAGCATATAGGGGGCGATGCTGCTGCTGCTGCTGCGCTGAGTCAAGCAGCAAGAAGCAGCAGGAGAGGCCTTCGACGCACTTCCTGCTGCTTCTCCTGCTGCTGTTGGCTCGTCAGCAGCAGCAAAACACGAGTCCAGCAGCGAAGTGTGGGGCGGCAGATTGTAGTGCTGCAGCAGCAACAGCAACAGCAACAGCAACAGCAACAGCAGCAGCAGGATTCAGCAGAAGCAGCATTTCGTCCCAGCGCACCCAAGCAACAGCAACAGCAGCAGCAACAACTGCAGCAGCAGCAGCAACAGCAGCAGGACTGATAAGGTAGAGCCCTGGCGTAGCAAGAGGTAAGTATCTTTAAAACTGTTTAAATATAGACTCACTTGATATGCATAAGGAAGGAACACACTCTGAACAATATCTCTCTCTGTTATTACTGTCTGGCTGCCTACAGACTGCAGCAGCAACTCAAGAGGTATAGTAGCACGCCCGCTTGAGGCCCCTGCTGCTGCTGCTGCTGCTGCTGCTGCTGCTGCTGCTGCTGCAGAGTCCAACGCGCCTGAAGCCTTTTCTCCAGCACCAGCAGCAGCTCGCCCCCCTCCGTCAGAAGCAGCAGCAGCAGCAGCAGCATCAGTTGAGGCTTGCTGCTGCTTTGCTGCTGCTAGAAGAGACAGAGGGACCTGCTCTATTGCATTTCTATATTTTATATTCAGCAGCAGCAGCAAATGCTGTAGTGCCGCAAGAGGCGTCTCCAACCGCAGCGCATGCAGCGTCAGCCGCAGCACCTCCGCCTTACAGTTCGATCTATTCTGCAGCACTTCTACTGCTGCACACTGCAGCAGCAGCAGCAGCAGCAGCAACAGCAGCAGCAGCAACAGCAGCAGCAGCAGCAGCAGAAGGAGACAAATAAGGAGACAGATAAAGGATATAAATAAAGAGACAAATAAAGGAGACAAATATAGAGACAGACAGATAAAGAGACACAAAGATAAGGAGACAGATAAACAGATATACAGACAAAGAGACAGATAAAGAGACAGCAACAAAGAGAGACAGACAAAGAGACAGATAAAGAGACAAATATATGAAGAGGCAAACAGATAAAGAGACAAACAGACGAAGAGAAAAGGAGATAAACAGACAAGCAGATAAAGGGACAGAGGGATAAAGAGACAGACAGATAAAGAGACAGACAGATAAAGAGACAGAAGAAGAGACAGGTAAAGAGACAGATAAAGACACAGATAAGGAGACAGATAAAGAGACAAATAAAGAGACAAATAAAGAACAATAATATACTCACAAGCGATTGCTTTTCTTTAAGGAGACGGTGAATGAGGGCGTGAATATTTAACTCAACGCGGTAGACAGCACCGCACTGACAGTCTATGACGATGTCAGGAGACACAAAAGTCGCTAGCCCTAATTAAAACAAATAAATAAATAAATAAATATAAACAAATAAATATAAAGATGTATATAAATAAAGAGAGAGAGATGAGAGATAGAGGAGACAGATAAATGTGAACAGAAAGACAGAGAGAGAGACAGAGAGGTAAATAAAGAGATAAATATAAAAGACAAAGGAGACAGATAAATATAAGAGACAGAAGAGACAGATAAACAAAAGAGAGAGAAAGGAGACAGATAAATAAAAGAGACAATTAAAGAAGAAAGGAAGCAACAGGGCCGCCAGGCAGCGACAGAAAGAGACAAAAAAAAGATAAAAGGAGAAGTCAAAGACAGAGATAAACAAAAAGGAGACAGAAGGAGACAGAAGGAGACAGAAGGAGACAGAGAGAGACAAATAGAGACGCAAAGAAAAAGAAGAAGACAGAGAAAGGGACAGAGAGACAAAGAAAGAGATAGAGACAGAGAGACAAAGAAAGAGATAGAGACAGAGATAGAGACTGAGACAGAGACAGACGAACAGGGAGACAAAGAAAGAGATAGAGACAGAAATAGAGATAAGCAGACAGACAGAGAGAAGCAAAGATATAGAGACAGAGAGAGACAAATAGAGACACAAAGAAGGAGACAAAGCAGACAGGGTCAGACAAATATGCAGACAGACACAGATGAGGAGACAGACAGAACAAAGAAAACAGCAGACACACAAAAGGAGACAGAGACAAAGCGGGGCATCACACCCCAAACGCTCTGCTCTCTGTCCCTCTGTCTCTGTCTCCTCTGTCTCTGTCTCTGTCTCTGTCTCCTCTGTCTCTGTCTTTATTTCCGTCTCTGTCTCTGTCTGTCTTTATCTCTGTCTCTGTCTTCTGCGTGTGCGTCTCCTTAGTCTCTGTCTTTATATTTGTCTCTGTCTCTCTCTTTATCTCTGTCTCTGTCTTTAATATCTGTCTCTGTCTCTGTCTTTCTATCTGTCCCTGTCTATATATCTGTCTGTATCTTTACATATCTGTCTCTGTCTCTGTCTCTGTCTCTGTCTCTGCCGTATATTTTGTCTCCTCACCGAGGTTAGGCGCTTGCAGCTCAACATCTGTAAGCGATTCCTGAGCATTAAGAATTGCTGCTGCTGCTGCTGCTGGAGTTTCTGCTGCAGCTGCTGTTGCTGTTATCCCTGTCCCTGCTGCTGTTGCTGCTGTTGCTGCTGTTGCTGTTGCAGTTGCTGCTGTTGCAGTTGCTGCATCTGTTTTTGTGTCTCCTTCTTCTGCTGCACTGTCTCCTTTCAATCCTCGAACACCAAACATAGGGGGTTTCATTAAAGCTAATGCTGTACCCTTTAAAAGAGGCGTCAGGGCCCTCACACCCTTAGCAGCTTCACCCCTTAGGGGGCCCCCCGGGGGCCCCCTCCCCACCTACACCCCCTCCTGATACACCTTGTTGAAGATCATACAGCAATACTAATTCAAGACCTGCATGATAAACTACTATCATGTTGTCTAGGGCTAGTAGCTGCAACTCTCCTAAAACAACACACCATAAACCCTAAACCCTAAACCCTAAACCCTAAACCCTAAACCCTAAACCCTTATATTTATTTTTGTGTGTATAATTTTATACATGCATAAAATGCATCTATACATGCATATATAAACATAAATAAATAAATATTAATATAAATAAATAAATAAATATAAATATATATATATAACTTAATTTTATATAATGTCTATATGAATAGCTAGCATAATATTGTTATATTGAGTAAAAGACTGCACATAGCGGCATTAGAGTGAAGCAGAAAAGATAAGAGAGTACGTAAAGAATATATTTTCATGTATTTGTTTGTTTACCTGGGGCTAGAGCATCTAAGACAGTATCAGGCTCAAGGGGGCCCGTTATTGCTCTTAAAGAAACTCTTCCTGCATGCGGATCTGCATGTATACAATATATTGTGTTATATAAACAAAAGAGTGTTACATCTCGATATTCAAGGGACTGCCAGAGCGGGAGATTGAGCTCTATCTTTGCTAGTCTTAGTAAGCTCTATACGCACAAAAACGCAAACCCTAAACCCTAGATAAACCCTAAACCCTCATCAACCTCATCTTCAAACCCTAATACAACGCAAACTATAAACCCTATACCCTCATCGACACTTTCTTAAACCCTAATCTATCACAAACCACAAACAATAAACCCTATGCAATAAACAATAAACCCTAAACCCTATTATTTCACTAACCACAAACCCTAATCCTCAGGTACAAACCCTAAACCCTAAATGAATGCAGGTAAGAGTAGGGAGGGTCTAGGGTTGAAATGGTTGAGGGTTTAGGGTTTAGCAAATGCACAGCTTAGAGCATGCAAGGACCATTAAGGCTTAGGGTTTAGAAGGAGTATTAGGGTTTAGGGTTTAGAAGGAGTATTAAGGTTTAGCGTTTAGAAGGAGCATTAGGGTTTAGGGTTTAGAAGGAGTATTAGGGTTTAGGGTTTAGAAGGAGTATTAGGGTTTAGGGTTTAGAAGGAGTATTAGGGTTTAGGGTTTAGGGTTTATAGACTCGCCAGTGTTCGGGGCTCCAGCAGAAAAGGCTGCAAGGTTCGCTGGGCGACAGCAACGACAAACACAGAAGGCCCCGATGGTGTTGCAGCAGCAGCAGCAGCAGCAGCTGCTGCTGCTGCTGCTGCTGCTGAACTTTGCTGCTGCTGCTGCTGCTGCGGAGCAGTAGAAGCAGCAGCAGCATCGCCGTCAGGGGGGCCTCCTGTCTGTCTCCTTTGTGCAGGGGCTGGCAACACCCAAGCAAGAAGTGCGTTTTGCGCTATCTTTTTCAGTGCATGCAGCGTCCTTCCGCTGTGCATAAACTGAGAACAAAGAAAAGAGACAAGTCGCGAAAAAAAGGGGGTCTTAAGCTGCATGTACACCCCGTTGCTGGGCTGTACGTACATGCATGCATGCATGCATGCATGTATGCATGCATGTACGTATTATTCAGCTTACCTTGAAGAGCTCTACGCTTTTTTGTGTGATAACAACCACCAGAGAGGCATCAGCTGTTGCAGGAGGTGTTGCTGTTTTAGCTGTTGCTGCTGCTGTTGCTGCTGCTGCTGCTGCTGCTGCAGGAGAGGATGACCCAGCCCAGAAAGCCTGCAGCACCCCTGGAACCTCTTCGCAGATGCTTCCGCCTCTAAGAGGGATGAAAGTAGTAAGGCACTCGTCTCCAAATATATCAATGATGCCTACCTCCTGCTGTACAGCTGGAGGGGGCCCCCCGCCCTCTATAACTCCTTCTGTACCGCAGCAAGACCCTGAGACAGGGGGCCCCCCAGCAGCACCTGCAGAACTGCTGCTGCTGCTGCTGCTGCTGCACTCCCCAGGGGGTGCTGTTACGTATAGGAGGAAGGAACCGCACGGAGAGAAGGACATGAGCTTGCACTTAGGCTTGACGAACCTGCAGCAGCACCAGCAGCAGCAGCAGCAGCAGCAGCAGCAAAGACAAAGAGATGCATGCAAACAGCAAGAGAGACAAAAGAAAGAAGAGAAAGAGAGGGGAGAGCTGTTATTTCGTCTCTTGTTTATAAAGGAAGTAGATGCTGCGGACGATGCTGATGTGATTATATATAATTATAACTTCCTGTATTATTATTTTATATATATATGAATATTATATTAAATACATATATATATTATATATACGAAGATATATATATATATATATATAGATATATATTTAATACAATATTGTTATTAAAACGGTTATATATATATATATATATATGTCTTCAAGAATAAACAAGGAGTATTATTCGATTAAAGATAAACATATTCAAGCGTAAATAGAGTATTAAAGACACCCAAACAAATTTAATAAAAAAGTAAGAAATGACGTACCGTATAGGATAGCCATTCTGTAGTTTCGTATTTTTAGCGTTAGAGAGGCTGTATACATGCAGCAATTCTTTTTGTTGGTGCAGCACTCGTCGATGTTGTGCATCATAAAAGACGCTTAAAGTTGTTGCAGGATCAAATGAGAATTCACGAGCTGCAACATGACATACTGGCTGCTGAGAATAAAATGCATGTTCTCCTTCAGTTAGAGGAGGGGGAGCAGCCTCAACCGCCTCCCCTCCCTGAGGAGATCCCATTGGGGTAAGGAAGGGCACGGATAACGCAGAAGCTTCTACAAGAATAAGCAGCCAAAGGATACTCTAAAGAGTTATATATATATATATATATGTATATATATATATATATCACAAAGGAATACTATATTGTATGTATTCCTGGGGGGGAGAAGAGAGGGCGTTGATCGCCTATGGGGAATCCATGCATGCAGAGCCGGAGATAGAGGCTGGAGGTGCAAGAAAGGAATACGCAGAGAAAAGGAGGTGCAGATACACCGGAAAGAAAGATGAAATTCAGGGTCAAGGTGGTGGGCGAGCCGTTTGAGTGCAGCCGTACTGACAGGGCGTTTCTCTGAACAGACAAATCCTGTAGAGTAATATATGAATCAAATTAACACCTGTTTTCACAAAAAATGAAATTAAAAACACTCAAGATCCTTCTGCTCTCCCCTTCGTGGAGGAGCAGGAAGGCAGAGGCGGAATACGCCTCCCAGCAGCCAAGCAGCGTTGTTCCGTCTGGTGTATATATAGGCAGCTAGTTGTAGATAATATAAATGAAGAGAGAAGTGGAAAACATGCTGAAATACACAAAATAGACAAACACGGTTTCGGTGAGCTGAGTATACACCGCAGAACTTGCACGGGTGTCGGCAGCGGCCGCGCCTCAGCAGAATCAGCAGTGGGAAGCGGAGTAATATTTCATCTTTTTTGCATTTTATTCATTAAAACCGTTTGTACATTGCACAACAAAACAAATGAGCAGCAAATTTTAGACGCTTTTCCGCTTTTTCCCGTGGTATCATTACCAGCGATCTTTCACCGTCGCGGCGTTTCTGCATGCATTTTCTTCATGAATTCATGAACGAAAGTTTTCCGTCTTGTAGAACTGTGAGGAAAACTTGTGAATTTTGCTTTATAATATTTCCAATCACCTGCTGCTGCCTTGAACCCTTTCGTTTGAGCGCCCTTCAGAAGCAGCACCGGCACCACAGCACCAACAAATTGAACTCTGCTCCTACTGCTGCTTCTTGACGCTATGGAGATTTATTTACCTCCAAACAAAGCCCGGACGGCGGTTTCTCTTAGCTTGGGCCTTCAAAAGGAGCTTCCAGACGACTTGGGAGTTCTTCAAGATGCTGCAAAAGAGATAGAAAATGCTATTTCACATCTTAGTGAGAAAACAGACCTTCTTCCTCCCCTCTCCACCAGCAGTTTCTTAATTCACCCTCAGTTTCCAAATGGCAGCAACAGTATTTCAGGAATCCCCTTTCATCATTCACAGAGCAAGCCGATACATTGCTGCAACCGTTGCTGCTGCTGCTGCTGCTGCTGTTGCTGTTGCTGTTGTGGCTGCTGCAGAACGCTCAAACAGAGAAATTCAAGAATTTGACCCCGTAAGACTTTTGATGCTCCTTTGCATAATCATTACCCCTTTTCTGCTGCTCTTTTGTTGCTGTTGCTGCCGGCTACTGCTATTTGACGCTGGTGTGTGTTGCTGCTGCTCGTGGCCGCTGCTGTTTTCTGCTTCCGCTGTTGACTGCTGCTGCTTCCTGCTGCTGCTTCTGCTCTATCATTGAACGCAAGAAGGTGTGCGTACACTCCAGAGTCGCTGCTGCCACTGCTGCTGTCCTGCAGGAAGGAAAGGACCCCGAGTTGGTTGATGCTGTTGCAGAGAATATCATCGCCTTAGCGAAAAAAGAAGAAAGGCTGCAGCAAATTAAAGACAAAATGGAAGCCCTGGGGGCGTGCAGAGACTCCTGCACTGCTGCAACCGTACCAGCAGCAGCAGCAGCAGCAGCCGCAGCAGCAGCACCGGCATCCGCAGCCGCAACAGCAGCACGCACACCTCCAGCAACAGAAACAGCAGCAACAACACCTGCAGAAGCAGCACCAGCAGCAGCTGCATCAACAGCAACACCAGATGCAGCAGCAGAAGGGGGTTCGGGGCTATCAGAGCGCATGCAATCTCTAGACCTTACTGACCCCTCCTCTAAAAGATTCGACGAAGGTATTGACTTATAGGTGGCCCTTAAGATACCGGGGCCCCCTTGGGGGCCCCTTGGGGCCCCTTGGGGGCTTCTTGCGGCTTGTTAGGGGCCTTCCTGGGGGCGCCTTGCTTATAGGGGGCCCTTAAGAGGTACGGGGGCCACCCTGGGGGCCCCTTGGGGTATGTGGGGGCCCCTTGGGGCCCCCACATACCCCTTTTGTAAGGAATTCGAAGGGCCCCCTTTCATCTGGTGGAGGGGCCTCAGGGCCCCCCTTTGCCCCTTTAGCTGGGGGCCCCGTCTGTACCCTCTGGGGCCTTGTGAGGGCCCTTGGGGGCCCCCTTAGAAGAGTATATAAATTTATTGTTTTTTGTTGTGATAACGAGGAGATGTGCTGGAGAAGAAGTTTGTTTTCATTTGCCTTCAGGGGGTGCTGCGTTCGTCGCCCTTTAATTAATTTATCAAATTTATTTAAAATAATCAATTTAGAACAGAGACAGGAAGTTGTAATGCAAACAACCCGAGCTGCATGTACACCCCAACTCTTCGGGTGTATGCGCAGCTACGCGGCCATCTGGAGGCCCCTCTTTTCTCTATTTAAGGTGGCCTTCAGGCAGCAGAGGGCGTGCTTCTCAGCAACAGCAACAGCAGCAGCAGCAGCAGCAGCAACAGCAACAGCAGCAGAAGCAGAAGCAGCAGCGGCAAGAGCAGCATTAACAGGGGTTTTAGGGGTTTGGGGTTTTGCTGTTAGTGCTGTCAAATTTTAACCCCCTCTGCTTCTGTCTTTATTGTGTATTGTATTGTATATATTGTAGATATAGATATAAATATATATATATATACATATATATATATATATAGATATAAAGATATATATATTCTAATAGACAGTCTGTAAAGTATATTCAGTGCATAATATTAATTTTCAATATATGCAGTTGTATTATACGTAAGATGTACCCATAAAACTGAAGGGCCAGCAGCAGCAGCAGCAACAGCAGCAGCAGCAGCAGCAGCAGCAGCTCTTGGCGGAGTCCGCCTGGGAGCAGGAGAGCGTTTTGCATGTTGCTGCTGCTGCTTATTCTTGCTGCTGCTGGTTCTTGCTGCTGCCCCAAGTGCTGCTGCTGCTTCTTGCTGCTGCTGCTTCTTGCTGCTGCTTGTGCTGCAGCGTGTGTATGTGGGGTGGCTATACAGCAGCAGCAGACTTCATCGAGTGCAGCAATATGCATTTAAGTAATTTAAACTTCTATTTATTTTTGCTGTCTTTGTTTGTTATATCTTTCAATCTGTGCTCTTACAGAAGTAAAGCGAGACATCTCTGCGTCTGCTGCTGGGGGCTCAGGGAGCTTCAAGGCAGGGCGGCTGACCTTGCTGCTGCTGCTGCTGCTGCTCTTGCTGCTGCTGCTGCTGTTGCTTCTGCTGCTGCTTCCAAGCTGGGGGCCTTCTGCTGCTGCTGCTTCTGTCTTTTGTTGAGCTCTAAAGCTGCGGGGAGCAGCAGTGTTCACACTCTGTCCTTCATGTGAAGCAACTTTGCTGCTGCTGTTGCTGCTGCTGCCCCGGCCTAGACTTGGGCTGCGGGAGGCCCCCCTGTTGGATTCCAGCTGGCGTAGCGAATGTTGCTGCTGCTGCTGCTGCTGCTGCTGCTTGTTGTCTAGGATAAGGGGTTCATACAGCAGAATGCTGCGGCCGAGAACTTTGTTTACTTCTTCACGCACCCGCCCCACCTGCACAGCAGCAGCAGCAGCAGCAGCAGCAGCAGCAGCACAGCAGCAGCAGCAGTAGTAGCAGCCTCTGTGTGTGGTTGTCTTCCCCCTAGACCCTAACATCTAAACCCTAGCATCTAAACCCTAAACCCTAGCAACTAAACCCTAAACCCTAGGGCAGTCTGTGGAGACAGCTAATTAGGAGGAGACAGAGAGCAGCAAGAGGAGAGAGCAAAGAGGGTTTGCTGCTGGGCTGCTGCTTACGCATGCGGCTTCTGTCTGCCCTTCCGAGCTCAAGATACACCCCAGAGCAGCAGCAAACGCCTCCCAGCGGCCTATTGCTGCTTCCTTCGTCTCTACTTCTTGCTGCAGCCGCCGTTGCTCCGAACAAAGCTGAAAAAAAGACAATAGGCCGCACATAACCCGACGCCACAACTCTAGCTAGCTAGCTGGATAGATAGCTAGCTAGCTACATAGCTAGCTATCTAGCTAGCCAGATAGTTAGCTAGATAGATAGGTAGATATATATTAATGGATAGGCAGATACATAGAAAGATATATAGATAGATAAATAGATAAATAAATAGATAGATAGACGCATAGATATATAGAGATAAATAGATAGCTAGACCGACAGATAGACAGACAAACAGCCACACAGAAATACACATCTATATATATAAACAATATATATAAATAATATATATAATATAATATATATATTATATAATATATATATATATATATATACCTTCTCTATGGTGGGGTTTGTGTGCCCGTCTCTCAGCTGGCGCACCTCCCGCCTTAAGAACTCCGCCTCTCGTTGCAAGTCGCAGTAGTTGCTCTATGACACAACAAACCCTAAACCCTAAACCCTAAACCCTAAACCCTCAGTTCAGGCACACCATGCGCAAATGGAGAAGCTGCAGCCCTGGGCTCCAAATCTAACCGCACAAAAATATAATATAATATATATATACATATTATATATATATATATATATATATATCATGCATATATATATGTACATGCATGTATATGTATAAGTATATATATATGCATATATATAATATATATATATATATATGCTTATGTATACACCCCAAGTGGAAACCCTAAACCCTAAACCCTAAACCCTAAACCCTTAGCCCTGTAGACTGACGACCGCTTCTTCTAGCAATTCTTTCATTTCTTTGTTGCTGAGGCCCTCAGCAAGTTGTCTCTGCCCCGTCCGAAGCGAAGGAGACGCAATTGGAGACTCTAGCTTCTTCTGGTTGACAGCCAGCTGTCTGCGCACAACAGCAGCAGCAGCAGCAGCAGCAGCAGCAACAGCAGCAGCAAGAGGATATGAGATCCAGCACTTCATAGAAAAGGTTTTAATTTAGCTCTAGATAAGCTGCATATACTCCTGAATGTACAGATGTTTTAAGCTGCATATACACCCGAATATACAAACAATATAAGTTGCATATACACCTGAATATACAGAAAATATAAGCTGCATATACACCGCAGTGATTAAGCGACGGCCTGAGGTGCGCATACACCTGAAAGCCGACAGATTGTTTGTTTTAAAGCTGCGTATACACCCGAATGCTTATTTGTTTTTTACTTTTGTCTCTGTAGTTCTTCTCTTAGTGTCTGCAACTCCGCTTGCGTTTGCTGAAGCAGCCGCTTGTCTGCTGCATGTAGACCCGCCTGAAGAGAAGCAGCAGCAAGCACAGCAGCAACAACACTCTCTCTGCTGCTGCTGCTCCTGCTGCTGCTGCTGCTGGTCTGGCTGTTGTTTTATTTCCTTTGCTGTGCTTGTTTATGTTTAACCTGTATACAGAGGCCTAAACGGCAGCAGCAGCAGCAACAGCAACAACAGCAGAAGCAACAGCAGCAACAGCAGCAGCAGTAACAACAACAGCAGCAGCAGTAGCGACAGCATCAGCAGCAACAGCATCGACAGACACAGCAGCATCAGCAGCAGCAGCATCAACAGCAGCAGCAGCAACAGCAGCAGCAGTAGCAGCAGCACCTCTTTGTCTAGGGCTTGCTGCATGTCTGTAAGCTGCTTCATCTGATCGGCCGCGCGATCTTCAGCTATTTTCTTCGTCAGTCTCAGCTGTACGTACACCCCAAACAACAACAGCAACAACAAATAAAGAGACAGAAAGAATAACACTTGCTGCGGTGTACATGCAGCAGCAGCAGCAGCAGCAGCAGCAGCAGCAGCAGCAGCAGTCGCAACAGGTGCACTTTGAGAAGCGGGAGTGAGAACGCCAGCAGCAGCAAATGCAGAAGCAGCAGCAGCAGCAGAGGAAGCACCGCGAGCAGCAAGCGCAAGCAGCACAAAGCAGCAGGCAACAACAAGAGCAGCAGCAGCAGCAGCAGCAACAGCAACAACAGCAGCTCCGTCTGCTTCAGCGGTACTAGACAGCAGCAACCTCAGCTTGAAGCATTTTTCTGTCTCTGCTGCTGTCTCTGTCTCTCTCTCTCTCTCCGTCTCTCTCTCTCTGTCTCTACTTTTATCTGTCTCTGTCTCTACTTTTATCTGTCTCTGTCTCTGTGTCTATCTATACATTTATATTTATCTGTCTTATATATCTTTACCCGTCTCTTTTGTGTCTCTTTGTTCCCTGCGTCTGCTTCTGTTGTCTCCTCCAAACTTCTCGCTATGCCTCAGCAGCTCTTCACATCGCGAAAAATTAGGTAGAGACGCAGCTCTTTGCTGCTGCTGCTGCTGCTGCTGCTGCTGCTGCTGCTGCTGCTGCTGCTGTGTTCTGTTTCCTTTGAAGGCTTCCTGGAGCGTCTGCAGCGCCTCAGCACAATCAAGGCTGTCTTCTGCAGCAGTTTCAAGTGTCTCCTTGTCTCCTTTGGGGCCCCAGCTGTTGTTGCTGCTGCTGCTGCTGCTACTGCTGCTGTTATTGTCTCTGTCTCTTCTTATGTCTCTTGCTCTCTCAGGCTCTCCTTCTAAGCTATTATCTCCGGCACCACTAACAGACAAAAACGGAGACGCTCCATCACTAGGGGGCCCCTCAGGGGGCCCCCCAAAGGACCCCTCAGGGGGCCCCCCAAGGGGCCCCTCTGAGGGCCTTCTAAGGGGCCCCCCAGGGGGCCCCCCAAAGGACCCCTCTGAGGGCCCCCTAAGGGGCCCCCCAAAGGACCCCTCTGAGGGCCTCCTAAGGGGCCCCTCTGAGGGCCTCCTTTGGGGGCCCCCCTGGGGGCCCCCAAAGGACCCCTCTGGGGGCCCGTGTGTAGGGGTTTGCGGAGGAGATGAAGAAAGAAAGGCGTTGATAGGGGCCCCGTCGGAGTTATGAGAGGTATTTGAGATGAGACAGCTTGTAGAGACAGAGACAGAGGCATCGGCTGTACGGTTTAATGTCTCTATATCTCTTTGTGAAGCAGAAGGAGACAGACAAACAGAGGCCCCTAACTGCTCCCTCTGATATATACTTAAAGAGACAGAAGCAGGGGCATGCTGCAGCTGTTGTTCCTGCTGCTGCTGCTGCTGCTGCTGCGGTTGCTGCTGTTGTTGCTGCTGCTGCGGGGTGTATGTCCCTGTTAGAAAGCCCCTTGATTGTGCTTGCAGCGCCGTTGCTGCTGCTGCTGCTGCTGCTGCTTCGAGAAACCTGCTGCTGGGCTGTCCCCCAGCAGCAGCAGCAGCAATAGGAGGGTCTGGATATGTTTGAGGGCAGTATCTCTCTATGCTTCTGCTAAGTGCATATACACCTGAGTAAGGAGGAGAGTGAAGACAAAGAGGCGGTGATGGGGGGCCCAGCGCGACGGGGGCTCCTACCCCATCTGCTGCTGCTGCTGCTGCTGCTGCTGCAGCAGCAGCAGCAGGTGGTGTACAAGGAAGGGCCTCCCAAGCTGTAGCTCCAGCACGAGGGGGGTTTGCTGCAGCAAACGAGACAAGATAATCTATAGGGGGCAGCGCAGCCCTCTGTCTGTCTATCATTAGGAGACAGTTGAAGAGACAGCACAAAGAAAAGAAAAAGGAAAGAAAATCTCTATAACGCCTCTGCAGTTCCTGCTGCTGCTGCTGCTGCTGCTGCTGCTGCTGCTGCTACTGCTGCTGTGGATCCTGCAGATGCTGTGTATGCTGCTGCTGTTGATGCTGCTGCTGCTGTGGCTGCGGCTTCTGCTGCGGCTGCTGCTGCGGCTTCTGCTGCTGCTGCTGCCGCTGCGGCTTCTGCTGCGGCTTCTGCTGCTGCTGCTGCTGCTGCAGCAGCTGGAGGTAGGAAAGCGAGAGGGTTTTGATGAGCCCGGTAGAGAAGGAGACAGCGTATCGAAGAAGAAGAGAGACGAAAGGAGACAAACAGTGACTACACTCGAGCTGGCTGGCGGTGCTGACTGTCTCCTTTACTCTCTTTGAGGTGTATAGGCAGCTGAGAGAGGAGACAGTGCTGCAGTTTGTTTATTTGAATAATATAAAAAGAAAAATATACAAACAAAACTAAGAAAAAACTCCAGCAGCAACGCTAGCCGCAACGACTCGAAGAGCAGCAGCAGCTGCAGCAGCTGCAGCAGCAGCAGCAGCAGCAGCAGCAGCAGACAGCTCTTCTGTCTGTTCTTCTCTAAACAAGAAAGCAACAAATAAACATAAAAAACCGCAAGTCAAATACTTAACCTCAAATATCAGCTCCAGGGTGCAGAAGCTAGGGTTTAGGGTTTAGGGTTTAGGGTTTAGGGTTTAGGGTTTAGGCGGCCGCTGCCGACCGCGCGCGCCTCGGTGCAGCGGCTATGAGGGTTTAGGGTTTAGGGTTTAGGAGGCTTTTAATTAAAATGCGTCAATTAAATAAATATTATTTTGCTGTTAATGCATTAACTTTTCTCTCTAAAGAAAGCAAATGCAAACCACAGCACACACAAACCAATGAGGCGCAGCAGCAACAGCAGCAGCAGCTGCTCCCAGCCAACGCTAGGGGGCCCCCGTGGATCCCTGGGGCCCCTAATACAGCAGCAGCTGCTCCCAGCCAACGCTAGGGGGCCCCCGTGGATCCCTGGGGCCCCTAATATCATCTGAAGGAATTTGAAGCATAAAAATAGATTTACGTTTTCCTTTGCTTCTGCTGCTGCTGCTTCTGCTGCTGCTGCTGCTGCTGCTGCTGCAGCTGTTGCTGCTGCTCCTGCTGCGCTCCTCTCGTTGAGGACCAGCAGCAGCAGCAGCAACAGCAGCGGCAACAGCAGCAGCAGAATGTAAAATCTAAGTTGAGAGACAAATAGCTGCTGCTGCATGTCTGCCTATGAACGGAAGGAGACAGCTTAAGCCAAAGGAGACACGTCTTGCTGCTGCAGCAGCAGTTGCTGCAGCAGCAGAGACAGGAGACTGTCTCCTCAATAAACTGTCTCCTTATAAATTATATTTGTATAAAGGGGACTGTCTCCTTATGAATTGTTTATATGAAGGGGCTTTGTCTGCTCTGTTTTCTTCGTTTGTTTTTATTAATATACTTCTTTTTATCTTTTTTTTTATGTTTGTTTGTGTCTCTGTCTGCTGCTTAGTTATTTTTGCACAGGAATGTCTCTCTTGTGTCTCCTAACACACTCCCCAGCTGTCTCCTTCTTCTTTGTTTGTCTCTGTACTCTCTACAGGCTTTCTCTATATAATATAATATATATAGATATATAGATATAGATATAGATATAGATATAGATATAGATATAGATATAGATATATAGATATAGATATAGATATAGATACAGATATAGATATAGATATATAGATATAGATATATACATTATGTATAATAATATATATTATATTGTTTGTTTCTGTTTATCTCTCTGTCTCTTCTTCTTTCTCTCTCTCTCTCTCTCTCAGACCCACAAACAAAATATAAAACAAAAATCCGTTATACACCTCAAAAACATACGCATCAGGGGCCCCCTAGGGGGCCCCACAACATTAAGGGCCCCCCACAACATCAGGGGCCCCCTAGGGGGCCCCTGGTGTTCATCAGGGGCCCCTGAAACCCTCATACAGATCAGGGGCCCCCTGGGGCCCCCCATAGATCGTACGGCCCCCGGGGCCCCCCCCACTGATGTTAAGAGGGGCCCCCAGGGGCCCCGACACCCCACAGATCAGGGGACCCCTAGGAACCCCTGATATTTAGAGGGCCCCCTGGGGGCCCCCTAAACATCAGGGGCCCCTTGAGTAGCTGCAACGGGCCACTGGGGGGCCCCTCTGCATGCTGATGTCTCTGAGCTCAGCTCTCCTTGGGGGGCCCCGTATATTCGTGGGGCACCTGGGGGCCCCCCATATATTTCAGGGGCCCCTTGGGGGGCCCCCATGGGGGCCCCTAAAAAGGGCCCTTGGGGGGCCCCCAAGGGGGCCCTATTACTTCTTGCTTCGATGACGGGGAGCTCGCACGCCACGTTGGGGCCCCCTGCAGACCCTGCATAATACACCCGCACTGTGAAGCAAACAAACCCCCTAAACCCTAAGAGGACGCCGTACATTGCAAGTTAGAAAGACGGGGCAGGGAGAGTGCAGCACATCCCTAGGGGGCCCCTAGGGGGCCCCTAGGGGGCCCCTAGGGGGCCCCGGGGCCCCCCCGGGGCCCCCCACAGTTTGCTGTTGTGTAGTATACTGACCCTTGCTGTCTCCATTCTGCTGTGAGAACATTGAGTAGGCCCCAGCGTTATTAACTGGCCTAGGGGCCCCTAGAGGGGGGCCCCCCAGAGAGGGGGCCCCCCGGGGGGCCCCTAATTGGGGCTGTCCTACGGTTGTGGGGAGAGGAGACTTAAAGGAGACACCTGGATTCTGAGGTGTAGCTGCAGCAGATGTGTCTCCTTCCGTCGCTACAGACCGTAGCACCTGAAGCCACCAGCAACAGCAGCAGCAGCAGAAGCAGCAGCAGCAGCAGCAGCAGCAGCAGATACATTCTATCAAGGTGGGTGTCTGAGTAGAGGTGCGTAGGGGCTTATTTCTGCTGCAGCTGAATACACGGTGAGGGAAGCGATCCTGCTGCTGCTGCTGCTGAGACAGCAGCAGCAGCAACAGCAGCAGCAGATTTGCTGCTGCTGCAAATACGCTGCATGCAACACTACAGACTTCATCAGGCCGAGGGGCAGAAGGGTTTGAGGATGGGTCAAGGTTTAGGGTTTAGGGTTTAGGGTTTGGAGGGAACGGAGACTAAGGAGACAGAAAAGGAGACAGAAAAAAATAAGAGAGACAAATAGACAGAGACAGAGAAAGAGAGACAAAAAAATAGAGAGACAGACAGAGAGAGACAGAGAGACACAAGGAGACAGAGAGACAGAGACAGAGACAGAGACAGACAGACAGAGACAGATAGAGACAAAGCGAGACAGACAGACAAAGAGAGACAGCAAAAGACAAAGAGAGACATCAAAAGAGAGAGAAAGAAGTAGACAAGAAGAGACAGTAGAAGAGAGACAGCAAAAAAGAGAGAAAGGACGAAGAAAGAGACAAAGAGAGACAGTAAAAGTAATACATGATTATTAATTGTATGCCTCGCATAGCCAAAGAAGCGTCTCCAAAACATTTCTTCTTTTAACTTCGCCGGCACCAGCCGATATCGAACGTCTCTTAGACCTGCACTTTCTTTTAATAAAGCACACGCCCTACACAAACAGCAGCAGCAGCAGCAGCAGCAGATGTGGTAGCAGCAGCAGCAGATGTGGTAGCAGCAGCAGCAGATTTGGTAGCAGCAGCCGCAGATTTGGTAGCAGCAGCAGCAGCAGCAGAAGCAACACCCGCAGCAGCAACAGCAACAGCAGCACCAGGAGCAGCAGCAGCAGCAGAAGCAACACCCGCAGCAGCAA